ACTAATATTCCTAGTTAGAGGCAAGAACTTTTTTTTACCTTGTATTTGTTCAGTTCTAAGGACCATGAAAGCCCAGTAAGTTCTAGGTGCTAGAGAGTGGCTAGTTACACCTGCTCTAATCTCACAGGGTTTTTCCCTGTCCGAGGGAATTCCCAGGAGGAGAGAAAGAGCCAGTTTTGCTCAATGATTCAAAGAGAAAAGAGTCAAAGCAACATTCTAGGCCTTGGGTAATAATTCCTTTTTATTAAGATACTTTTAAATGCAGCAGTTCTCCTACTATTTGTATTGATATAGTGTCTAGAAACCAAATTTCCTTCATATTTAGGACTGGAGCAAAGATCTGAAGATGTTATAGAGGCAGGAAGGAATACCCGTGTGGCCTAAGTAGTAGAGGTCACAGCTCCTAGATGGTCTTCACCTTTCTTCAGGAGAAAAAAGAAAATGTTTTTAATAATGTGTAAATGACATTCGTCTTAGATAATGTGACATATAATCTAGCATACAAATTCTCTTCCCCTATGAATTGCCTGATAAGACTATTTTTATTTCTTTTTTCTTCTTTTTTTTAAGAAAAATGGTTATATACTTTTCTATTATCCCTTCTCATGACCACAAAGAACATGCCACTTCTCATTTGAAAATTAATTTCTGCAAATCTGCTTAGATATTTCTTTCCCTTTCTCCTTCCTCCTGCTTCAGGCTTTGTGTCTATGATTATGATCTAGACACTACTTAGATGAGAACTTTTCAAGCAAATCCAGAATACCATGGAAAATGACTCAGTAAGTTGCACTTTCACCTCTGATTCAGTGTTTCAACAAGGTGGTAAAGAGTTCTGTTTTGTTTGTAATGCCATCCTTCCTGAAGGATGTCTGTCTGAAAATAAAAGTGCTAATCAGCTTTAGTCTTTAAGAGAACTTATGGCACATACTTACCAAAAGAGAGGGTTGAAGCCAGTGCAAAGGTGAAATTCTAATTTGTGTACTTTTATTTATCTCAAACCTCTGAAACATACCTGGATGCAAGATTCTTCATTTCCTGTGCAAATATACAAGCAGTGCTGCTGTGTGCTCTTACGCGTCTAAATACTGTGTTGTGAAAACTCTGTTGAAATTCTGGGTGGTTACATTCATTTATTTGTAATGTCCGAAGTACTTCAGGATGTTTAAGTGTGAAAATTCCTCTATAAGCATGATATAGCACTACTATGCACAATTTGCAAAGCATATATATAATAATTTTATTTCATCTAGAAAGTGTTGGGAGAAGAATTTTAAATTTAGTTTCTGGTTATTCATAAGATGTAAAAGATGAATACGTAGGTTATATGCTTTGTACCATTCTCCCAAAGGTGAGCAGAATTTTTCACATAAGTTAAAGAGTCGAGTCTTGGATAGCAAATTACATTTGATTTTTCAAATGTTTTTAATGTTTTCAAATTACGTCAAAGTAGTAAAGGACTTTACAAAATGTTTTATGTAGCAATTCTGAAAGCCAGTGTGACAGTTTTTCTAATTAACTTATTTAGCCTAGTTTTGGATAACATTAGCTGTTTCATCACTTTTAGGATATTATGAGTATTCTTTGTGGCACCATCAATAAGCCAAGAATTTATAGGGTTTCTTAATCATACAGATTACTCATCATTGCCTGCTCATAGCAGAAGCCTAAAATGCTCATTAAAGTTGTATGATATGAAACAGAATTCAGTAATCTTGTATAGCTGCAGAATTAAGTGACAAGAGAATAGCATTGCATTAGAAAAAATATATGTTTTTTCTTGAGTACCTGTTTCAGTGAAAGTGAAACGTGCAGGTTTATATATAGATCTGTACTCTGACTTTGTTTAATATTAAGGATAAAAATAGGCTGTTGGAGTGGAGAATTGTTTTGAAAGGATTGGCGATCATGCTTGAAATGTAATGATTTCTGTTGTTGTTGTTTACAATGAGCTACAGGAACTCGCCACATGTTCTTGCCCAGTCTGCTAGCCTGTTTTTAAAACTGGCTAATTGCAAATTGCTGTTCCAACTTGATCCTTTGCCCTATGCTTTGTACCTTTTCATCAAAACAATAAAAAAGGTCATCTTCCCATCTTCAACAAGCTGTTTGACTCCCACAGGCAGTTGTTATGCCGTGCTGCTTTAAAAAACTGAGGCCCGGATTCTCCTCTCACCACCAAGCCTGTTTTTTCACCAGTATAATGATGTTGCTTTCATTGGAGTTGCACCTTGGTGCCAACATAACTGAGAGAAGAATCAAGTCATGGTCTAGTCACTGGTAAAAGAGGAATATGTGTGGTTGAATATGCTGCCTGAAAATGCGTATGGATTCTAAGAGCAGCACTATTAGAGCAGGTGTCTTCTGGAACGCTGCAATTGCTAATCTTTGTCTAAAAAAATATATTTTTTTTTTTTTGGAGCAAAATTTGTGGGAACAAATTCTATTTAGAATGGGCTATAATCTCCTAAAGTAGCCTGTGGAAGGAAAATGAATTAGGACTCGATACCATTTTCTTCCTGTAGAGTTCAGATGAGAAGACAGTGTAACCTATTGGCTTGAGCTGATCTCTATTTTTGGTTTTGTCACTGGCTTCTTGGCTGACCTGAGGCACAGAAAGGCAAAATGACTTGCCTTGAGTTTCACACCCATAAAACAGGAATAACGATGCTGTTCTGCTTTTTAAAGTGTACTGAGATCTGTGGATGAAATGAATTATACAAGAGCTGCTATTACTATTTCTTACCAAGGCTGGGTGAAATAACTATTTTTACTGAATGACAACGTGATTTTGGAAGTAGGCATGCAGTACCCTGGCACTGACTGAGTAGGAGCTTCCTCATCTGAGTTTTGTGGCCTTGATTCTCAGCTCTACAACCATCACTGTTTTGCTTTCTAATGGCACAGTAACTGGTGAAAGTAGTAATAAATTATAGCTGTTACCATTAATAAGCAATATTTGTCTGTACTCATTATACCTTGTTATTTGAAACGTTACAGTTATTCACTATCACAAGCAACCTACCAGCTGCTAGCATGGGGAAACAGATTTACCTTAGTGACCCTTTCCGTATGTATAAGGCACTGCATGTAATTTTTTTAAAGCTATTATGTTTTTATTTAAAATGACGTAAACATTTCCCAACAGAATGTTCTCGGCTCTGCCTCTCTGGAAACAAAATGAGTGCCATTAGCTGTGCATGTGAGCCTTCTGGAGTTTCTCTGTGGTCACCCACACAAAATAGGCCTGCTGCCTCAGTACCTTATGCTAAAGTTCCACCCTCACATGAAAAACCAGGCTGTCGTTTTAGCAAATAGCCCCACTTAGAGTTTGCATCCCTACCTGCACATCTCCGGAAGCAGTAATTATGATCCACAACAATTCCTATAAAGCAAAAAACTTAATTTCTGGAGGTTCAGCATTGATTTGGCTCCACTAGTTTTGTTTCAGGTTTTCTCAGTTTCACAGTGATTCTAAACCTTTGGATTGATGGTTGCTGAAATTGAAAATTAATTTGAAGAAATGCTTGCATTTTTTTTTTTTTACTGAAAATGTTCAGTTAATGAGGATATCAAAAACTATATTATGCCATTAACTTCATAATTATTTTGCAGACAGTAATGTGCTCCAAAAGTTGCAGCATAAACTCAGGGTGCAGTACACACATTTTGCATATCCTTTTTAATAGCACACTCTACTGATTCACTAATGCAGAAGCCTCCATGGTTCTCCCTAATTCAGCTTTCTTCTGAGTTGGAGGGCTGGGAACTGTGAACCCGTTATAAGATTTATTGGCAAAATAATGCTATGAAATGACAAACAAGAGCTGAAGGTAACCCTCATTAAGCCAATTTCCTCTACATTCTTGCAAACTCCCCTTTTCCCACTGTTGCTTTTCTCCCTGCTGACTTTTGGAAGTCTGTCTGGGCTAGATGTCAGTTGACTGAATGGGTTGCTATTGCGTGGTAGGAGGCCTTCCTTCCACAAGCGTTGTAAACTTGCTTGTAGCCTAAGAAATAGAAGAAATAGTGTTTCTAAGCCTCATACTTGGCATGCATTGTTCGAGGAGGCAGAAATTTTGGTAATTCATGTGTTGTAAAGACAACTTAGAGTGACATATTTTTAACAGAAATCGCAAAAAGAAGCTAACCTTTTGCATTCAGAGAAATTCTTCCACATAGTCTCAGTGGTGTGTTTTCTTTCCTTTAACTTTTGCTGGAAATATCAAAACATTTGGTAGGGTTAGCAAAATTACAGTTTTGTCTTGTTTTTTTTCCAAAATGGAAATTAAACCAGACTCTCTTGAGTACAGCTGATGGGTCTGCACTTGTATTAGTGCATCTGGTTCTGGGCACCCCTCCTCCGAAAGATGCAAATGTAACTGGAGTGAGTTCAAAAAACAACAAAATGTTGAGAAATTGTAAAGTTTGATTTATGAGAGAAAAAAATTAAAAAAGAAAAAAGTTAAATATGTTCAGTGTGTCTGAGTGACAGCAGAAGGGAGGAAAGTTTTGATAGTGATCTACAATTTCTGATGGGTGTGAACACCAGCGAGGTGAAAAATTACTTAGGGTGGTTCAAGGAGGTATAATTAGATGTAATGAAATTAAATGAACAATATATAAACTTGAGCTGAACATTACAAAAAAACAACATAAGCAGTGAGAGCTATAGATTTATTATTTATCTGTATTGTGTTAGCACTGGGGGATCCCAGTCAGAGATCAAGTGCTCCTTTTCTTGTAGAAACATGAAATACAAACAAAAGAAATGCAGTCCCTCTCTTAAGTAATAGATGAGAAGCTTGACTGGGTGGCATATAAAGAATAAACTTAAACTAGTGATATGTGAAGTAGAGAACCTAAAAGGTCTTTTAAGCCTTTTTTGTTTTGGCTGGCTGTCAGACCATTTAGGACTGGAAGAGTATAACTCTTTATTTTGAAGATGCTTGCTATTTTCACTCACTAATGTATGTAAATATTGCTTTAAATTGGAATAGCCTTACCAGTCGATTGCCAAGAGCTGGAGAAACTATCCTTGGACATAAGTTTTTTATTGGTTTTGGTGGGAAAGGAGCCAATCAGTGTGTCCAGTCTGCTCGACTTGGGGCCAAGACCTCGCTGATCTGCAAGGTAAGCACTGACTTGCTCTTGGATTACAGCTGAACAGTTTATGCAAGTTTCAGTAAAACTTTAGATGATTTACAGAAAAGTTGTTTTTTTCCTAATCCCACTCTGACTCCCTTTTCTTTTCCTAATTTCAGCTATAAATTTAAGCATGAAATGTGGCCAGGAGGCTGTTTTTACAGTATTAAGAACACCACCAGAACGAAAGAGTACCTGGCTAGAGGTCTGCCAGAAATTGCATGGAATCAAAGATTGCAAAACTTAGATTGATGTACCGTGGAAAGGAGGATTGGAGAAAGCTTGAGATATTTTAAAAATTCAAGTGAACTTGGTTAGCCCCTCCTCTTTATATTGGCCAATTTTACAACTACCGAGGCTTAATTGCTGACATTGTTTGCTATGTGCTTGCAGTCAAGCAGAAATTTACTCTGTAAGTGATTGCAAATCAAACACTGACTAGATGGTAACAAATTTAAGAAGGAAAGTAAAGCTTTGTGTTTCAAAGGTTAAATAATTACTAATTACTCTAATTACTTGAGATTAGGATGAGATGTTCACAGGCAAATTGTATTACCTTTGCACGCTATGGGATTTCTTCCCCATCTTCCAAAACATCTGATACGCGGCAGTCCTAAAGACTGGTTCTTGAACTGAGCGGACGTCGATCTCATTCAGTTTGGCAGATGCTATACTCTTACAATGCTTTTATTTGATTTTTGCCATTAAACATTATTGGTTTTGAGTTATCATTACTAAGGTTAAGATAAAACTTTCCCTCTCAGTAGCCTTACTGTCTGTCCTGTGATAACTGTAGGCAAAACTTCACATTGACCGGCCACAGTTTGTTGTTGACATAGCTGAGGGAAGATGCGAGATTTGTTGAATCATTCTCTGTCTGGGTTTTTTTGAAAAGTACTGGAAACATGTCAAGAAATCCTTCTTAACTGGTTTTCCAGTCCAATATTTAGGCTAAAGAAGGGTAGCTATAAAACTAAATTATACCTGCAGGCATTTCTGTGAGTCTTTATCACTGGTTGTTCTACAGTGCTTTTTTATATTGAGGATATTTGTGCTTCTGCAAGTGATGTGTATTTAATCATCTTTGTATTCAATAGCAATCAGATTCAAGTACAGGATGAATTGGCAATGAATTCCCTGCTAACATTTCTTGCTAAATGTTAAGGGTTTTTTTTCCCCTGAAAGTGTGAATTTTCTTTTATTTTTTAATGGTTTTGACTATACTCAGTCAGTGAATACATGTTTCTGGAAATATTTGCATTCTTAATAAAATTCTGTAGCTGATATTACTGCTAAGGACTTTACAAACCCATATTTGTGCTATTTTAATAAAACTTAGTCCTATTTCTTTCTTTCTGTTGTGCATTTATTGGTGAAGAGAAGCGGCAGAGAATCACAGATTCCTCTTATATCTATAAATTTTAACATTTTGTATTTTTTATTAAAAAGTTAATATTTATTTTTGAAGTAAAAAATTCCCTTTATAGCTTCACAAAACGGACTCAGCTCATGGCAGTACAGTCTTATATCTGCATGGGCCAGTGGGATAGTATAAGTCTCTCACTGACTATGACCAAGAACAGTCAGGTAATAATGAGCCATTACAATGAAATTATTCTTACTTTCACAAGTCATCTTAAGGATTCAGGTTCTTAAAGCCATATTCCCTGCCCCTGCATTTATGCTCAGTACACATTTTTGGTTTGGTCATAATTTCCAACATGTTTTATCAAGTAAAGGTGCAGCAATTGCTTCTACTATCTGAAGTTCTGGGACTGGAGTCAGTATAAATACCAGAGAGATGTTCCACTGGAATGTGGCATCCTCTTATAAGAGTTGTAATTTAGACAGAGGCTCTCCTCCATAAGAGTAGACCTGGACATCTCAGATCAAGTGCAAAGGTCTCCTTCATACCTCAGAGCTTCAAAACACAAGAGAGATCCAGTGCCTATCTGTTGAGAGTTGGAGAAAGGGAGTTTTAGAATGACTTACAGTTATGACTAGAGATGCCATAGAATGCTGTGGATTTTAATTTGAAATCCAAATACTGTGTTTGGCTTGTAGAAGTGACAAACATCATGTTACTTCTGTCTGAATATCCGTGGAAATGGCTGATGTTAGTCTGGATTACCAATATGTATCACAATATCAGTCTTAAACTCCCTTCCTCGGTTTGCTCAGTGCACTAAAATGACATATTGATGGATTAGTTGCCACTTTAGAAAGACAAGAAAGACCAAGGTTCAGAGAAATATAGAAGATTGTAGTCAGGCAACTAAAGGAGCTGAGAAATTAAATGGACCTGAGAAATTAAACGAATAGCTTATGATCATACAAGAACCCTATGACAGTATTGAAAAATGCACGGTGGTGTAAGAGGACCGAGCTCCCCAAACAATTTTTTTTGTAGTGGCCATTATAAAAAAAATCTTTTAAACTTCCTAGCTTAAGATGTTGGAGGGAAGCGATTTGAAAGAAGCTGTATGTGCTGAAGAAAGTCTTGTTTTGCTTCTGGCAAGCAGTATGGGATGATCTTTGCTGGACATTGATGTCACTGGCTGCATATACGAAATTTTACTTAAGCCCCAGCTGCAACTGATTCCTACTCAGAAAAAGGAGTGCTATATCACCATGTTAGGTAGTCGACTATTTTCTCTCTATAGTTCCAAATGTTCAAAGGTATACAGACAGTCTGTAAGCCAAATTTAAGGAAAAGCACTGTAAGCCTGAATCCTTACTTCAATTTCAGAACATAACTGTATCTAAGATGCAGCTCAGAGTATCATAGATATCTTCAAAAATTTTTTTCTTTTGTATTAATGTCTTATACTTGTCTTTAGAACCTGTTTAATTTCCTAAGCAAGGAAAGGAGTAAACACTCTCAAAAAAATGTATATAGAATAGACGAAGCAAAAATGGTATGTATTTTCATTATAATTAATTTTCAGGTACAGAATGAGTTTGATTCTCTAAGCCTAAAATTTTAGCTGTCATATCCATCAGCTCTCCTAGCTACCCGTAAAAAACATGATAGGAAGTGGGGAAAACCCAGGCTGAAAAATACTTATGTAATTGCGCTCATTCTAATTTGCAGGCTATGTGATGATAATCCTTGTACAAACTGCTATTGTTGTTAAGATCTCAAGAAAGAAGAAATGCTATTTCAGCACATAATAAGTTCTGTGGTCAGCAGATTAAGACATTTACTTTTCTATTTATCCAATATTTCATCTAGCAGGTTATGAGAAAAAGCAGAGAATATTTAAAACAATGTCATATAATTTGACATAGTCAGTAGACGTGTCTTTAATCTAAAATGAGTCTGATGCCCAATGCTCTGTCTTCCTTGGGGGCAAAGCCTGAATGGAAGGATAAGCCCTTCAAATACACTGGGATTAACTGGGCTGGATGCTGATGAACCAACATGGAAAAAACTTTCCAGAGGAGAAGGACCTCCTGCAGCACTGAGATGTCTTGCTGTGAGCAGAAATACCACGGCTGATCTCAGTTGTTATGACAGTTGAACAATACGGGATGCCTGTCTGTCAGCTATGTAGGACCCAGACTTGAAGGAAGTACGTTTTGGTTCAGCTTTTGGAAAATGGTTATGAAATATTTCTCTGCTGAAATAACTGAACAAATGCTGAGATTTGTTGTAGCTGAAGCTTTGTAGCAGCCTGAGGAGGGAGAAGATGATCCCATCCGGTGGAATCCATTCCAATAGCACAACTGTTAGGTTAGAAAGGTGTGCATAGCTCAGGTCTAAAATTGCAGATGGCTGCAGTCATCCAGCCAAAAGGTACCAGAAGCTGCCGCTTCTGGGAACCTGCCTGCCCTGTCTGGAAAGCTGGGAGTAATCGAAGATGCAGAAATGTTATAAGATGCAAACAATGACACGCTTACTGACCAAAGTAAATGTTTTTTTCACTTACTAGTGGAACAGTCTATCTGGTAGGCTACTTTTTCCCTAATGTGCTGCCGTCCTTTTGTAAAAGACCGAGACCATATCTAATAATGCTTTAGATAAATCCCTTACAGATGCTGTAGGCAATGAAGTATGCTTCAAAACATGGTGTGAAGAACAGAATATGTGGGGCGAAAGGGTATCAGTCTCTAACACTTTATATTTTAGAATTTTGAATTGTAGGATTTGATTTTTATGATCATTAGTTAGTACTCAGGCCTTCTCAAAGCTTTCTGACAGTAGACAATAGAGGCAGCTGCTCTGTGCTTCCTAGTAGCTCAAATGCAGATTTAGCTATTCAGTCCATTTTATGAGAAGATGGATCATTCAGGCTCTTCATGTAACTCCTTGGTCATCTAGATCGTGACCGGGATCTTGATTTAACTTCTTATCTGAGAGATTACTCCTTTTCTTTTGCAAAAATACTGATAGCATTGGCCAGACTTTGATACTGCTCAGATATACAACTTACTCTTGGAAGTGGAAGCACAAACTATACGTGCTGAACATGTGGGCTAAAACTGGTGAATTAAAAACTATGCTGGCTTTATAAGTTTATATTAGAATGTTATTTTGACATTAAGCAAGTTGTACCATTTTTTCTCCATATACCTCTTCTACTTTGTTCAGCTTTTGTAATGTAATAAAAACAAATGTTTATTGCTCTGAATAAGCAGCAAGCAGAATTCTGTTCAGTGAAAAGGATTAGTGGAGCTGAAATTACAAGCTCTTTAACTTGCTGTTAGAAAAACAGTGGAGCATAGCTTGACTCTCTAACTCATCTTAGCCTGGTATTGTTGAATAAAACAAACACAAAATGTTGGATTTTAAACAGTATGTGTAGTACTGAGAAATTATAGAAAACAGCAATGCCATGTTTATAGTCACTTTCTAGAGCCTAACCACAGTTTGATATTTTTTCCACTGGGGAAACTTAGAGCTAGAAAATTCAAAATATGGGCTTCAATTAGAAGGACAATGAAGTTACTATCAATGCTTTCAATTTGAAACTGAATAATGATCCAGAAGTACAAGATTCAGTAAACTTCCAGATTTTACACTCCTGAGAAAGCTTCGATGTCAAGGGAACAAAGCGGCTGGGACTTGGGTAGAGGGGGGAGTTTGCAAAATAGGAGGAGAGATCTGCAGAATACTATTCCAATAAATTGAGCAAAATGCTGCAAGAAAAACAGTGCTGTATTCTGATTACATCATAGCATTCTGCTAACTAAAGAGGGTCTATTTATCTAGTTTACCTTTTTGTATAGAAGACCCATCTTTTTCTCTTTTGTACAGGTTGGGGAGGATTCCTTTGGCAATGATTATATTGAAAATTTGAAGAAGAATGGTATATCTACAGGTAAAATTTTGGTTTTAAAGAAGCCTTTTGAATTATTTTTTAAGATTTAAAAATTAGAAATTGAGAGTTTCTTATCTGATTGCCATGTCTATGTTAGTGCAGAAAGGGGAATCTTTCCACTCATGTGTTCTGTATGATCAGCCCCTAGAAGAACAATGAGCACGTGGAGAAGCCAGTTTAAGAAGTTTCCAGACTGGTCAATTGTGCCTCTAGTCGGGCCAATGTACTTGTTAAAATTATGTATGTTAAACTCTCTTGAGGGTTATTTTTAAACCAAGCCATGTGATATATTTTACCATTCAAAACTATGAATAATTGTTTTGACACCGGTGGCAGGATTGAATGAGTATAGCTAAGAATATGGGGACTTCTGAAGTCAGCTGTACCACTGGAGAAAGAAAATAAAATGTAATGTCATTACCTCTGAATCTCATATGATTATGTTAGTGCAAGTCACCTGAAGATAGTGCAGTTGTGCAAGTATTCAGGCAGGCATCAGTGATGATAATGCCTGGTGAGAAATTGAAAATTCCAGCTTTATTGTCCCTTCTCTATTTCCTATTGGGTAAGGGGGAAGGGATAGAGTGGAAATGGATTTGTTAACTCTATAGTACACCTTTATTTTATGAAATGACACATGCAATCATTTTATAGACTGCAGCCAATCTTTGTTAACACGTATACACACAAAAAGCAATGTTAAAAGGCTTACAGGAAAAGGGAAAATTAGGCATTCACAATATTCTGTTACCTTGATATCTTTTTAACCCTGATCCCCTGTCTTGTGTAAATGTATTATTGCGTGCTATTTAAATACATGATCACATTGTTGTCTACAAGACCCTTGTCTCCTTCAACGTGGACAGGATGGACAGACGCAATCACTAAGTAGCAATTTGATATTCTGTTTATCTTTTCTGTTTAATATGCAGCCACAAGCTTCATTTACTCTGCATTATTTAGATACTGCTTTGAAGGCAGAACTATCAGTATTTTGTGGGCTTTTTTATTATCCTTATCAGTATAGCATCTGAATAGTTCACAAATGTATATAAAGATTTATTCATTGCACAACTTCCAACTTTACAACAAACAAGGCAAGGCTATCATAAAAATGCTGTCTGTTAGTGTGTAGTTCTAATTCTCTCCAGACCAGGCCTACCTTGTGAATAAAGTGGTAGTCCTTGTGTAATGAAATAGTCTTTGATCATGTAATTAAAACTATCAAAGTGCATAGCACTTAATGAAAACTAATATTCCACAAGCAACCTTAAGTCTCATATTTTCTGATTTAAATGATTGACCTTACAATCTTGAGATAAATTTTAAATAGTTTTTATGAGAGCAAAAGGAAAGTGAAGGAAAAAAAATCCCTTCATGAATTCCATCATATTGCACTTCACTGATACGCACATACATCAACTGAAGGGTTGGAACATTTAAGTCCAAGGTAAAGACTTGGACTTCATCCTAGTTCTGTCTCATTTCAGTCCCTGGTTTTTCACCCCAGTCTAATCCTTATCTAGCCAATCCCTGTCATTATGCATGAGGATACTGGGTCCAGGATGAAAAACCTTGCCATAATGCCAGGTCTACCCACTTCCCCTTTTTAGGGGATTGTTTGCATATGGTTTCTTTATATTGCTCTCCTGTCCCCTTACATACTACCTTATCCATTTTTTTTCCTATTCCCTAACATTGTGTTCTGCAGGAAAAGCACTGAAAGCACAGAAGAGACAAGCTCTCTGCTTTCAGTCCCAGTTTGTAGGCCTAGTACCTAGTGAAGAGAAGCTATAATTGCAAGGAGAGTTCTGCTCTGCCCTTGTCAGATACTCTAGCAAATGAATAAGTGTGATGTTCATTTTTGTTCAGCCTCGTTCGAATTGGAGCAGATTTTTAAATTAAGCACAAAGGGCACATCTTGGGGAAAAAAAGCACCAAACCTTGCCCAGCATGAATTTTGTGGACTAAAATATTAGAACACCACAGCTTCTTAAAGAAAAGGTCACCATAATTTATCTCAACTGAAGCAGTAGATTTTTTTCATATATCATTCTCAGCGAAAACTGAACTTTTTTGACAGTTTTCTGCTACAGTTCTGCCTAAATAAAACACCTATCATAGAATATTTTGGACCACTGGTTACTATTTGACAAATTTACTGACAGCTGAAAAGAGGTCCTTATAGTAGTAAATATTGAACATTCTCTATAATAGACGGTGCTCCTAGCCTCACTTCTAATTAATTTATCTGAATAAATTATCCAAAGAGGAAACATACAGCCTCACCACTACCCTTCAGAGTACATTTTAATACTCCTACTGAAATGCAAATCTACAGAGAATTAAATGCTCTGTTGTTTCAATGTTTTACTTTTCTCCAACCTTGAGTCTATTGTTTCTTTGGATAAAAGAAATACTTACATGTAGGAGTAGAATGCCTGAGAAAGCTATATAAATAACATGCCTTCTCTGAAGCAGAGATGAAGCCAAATTAAAGAATGTTGGACTCGCATTTCTGTTTTGTGGGTGTAAATTAACACTTTTTGTTGTTGTTAGCTTCTCTGGCATTGTTGCACATGAAAGAGTAATTAGCATTTTTAAATTGCTGGAGGTTATGGGTTCATTTTAGATTTAATTCAATTAAACTGAATCACATGCTATTGGCTGAAAGTAATGTATTGAACTAATGCGTGCTGTAACTTTTCCCTTTCTTAGCATTTGTAGGTCAGACTACAGATGCTGCTACTGGAACTGCTTCAATAGTTGTCAACAGTGAAGGTACGTATTTCTCTGAATTGTCCTCTTGGTTCTGGCTCTACAGCCATAAAAGAACCTTATCGTTGCCTTATCATTGTTAATTGTGGAATTATTTTTCTACATCTTTCATCTTTTCCATAATGTTATTCAGACTCTGGATTTCCTCTGCAAAGGCAACTTTGCAGAATGAGATGTTGCCCAGAGTGCCTAATAGGTTAAGTAGAATCAGACCCTTAGATTAGCAATGAGATGGCCGTAGTTCAATGAGCTAGTTGATCCATTTAGTTTTACATTAGCCAGTACCCAGTCTATCAGAAGAAGATTAAAGCTCTCCTTTTCCACCACAGTTTACCTAGCACTTCTACTATGAGGAAAGGGTTTTCCTCCTGAGCACACTAGGGGAGTCATTATGCCCTGCATCAGGAAATGTAATTTTCCTCAGTATAAGTATATTTATGTTGTTGTTATAATAGTACCACAATTCTTCATCTCAAGTTACATCTGCAGTAATGCATACTCAGTGAAATGGCACATTTGCTTACTCTTTGTTAATTTTCCGTAGCTTGTGCCTTTGCTCTCCTAGAGGAAGATAAAAAAGAGAATTTCCTTGTTTTTGTATTGTTCTTCAAAACTGCTAAATTATCCTCTTTTGAAAACTTTCTGTTTATTTTTTCCTCAAGCAAGTTGTGTCCTTATTTGGAAAGCTCTTAGGGGAAGTGCTTATGTCTAGATTGAAATTTAGAGCTCAGGACCAATTATGTTTATGCAAACTAACAAATTAAGTGTGATTGAAATAATTCACTTTTGGTGCAGCTAAGAATCTTCATTTGAACAGTTACCACAGCTCAGCTGGCACAGCAGCTTAACAAGTTCCTGTGACGCTTGATGGTTCATCTGGGCTACAGCTCAAGATGGGAAAGGGAGCATGACTACCTCACTCCAGGAGCAAACCTAGGAAGGAACTGTAACTAGAGACAAGTCTACACAGGAACATTAAGGAAAATTAAGCAAATTAGTTGGAGATCTGAGTTTAATTTTCTCTTAACTGAAATTAGTCAAAGCCTTATATGACAGCTCTAATTCAGAGATAAAGTAGCTTTAATACATTGAATAAACTGGATACCAGCCTGTCACTTCCTTCTTCTCCTCCTGGTTTGGATCAGCAAGTAAATTACTTCAGCAGCTCTTGAGAACTTCTCTCTCACACCACAATCACATATAGTCATTGCTGTGGCCATTGTAAGCTGGAGGGACAGAGAGAGAATTGCCGTAGCACGTGCTCCCAGGCCTCCCTCTTTTGTACAGAAGCCATAGATTGAGCTAGGTTTGCGGTCCAGAGAAGTTGAATAAGAAGCAGAGTCTTACTATTTCCTAATTCATATGCATGGCCAGCTAAGATAAACCCAGTCTATATTTGAATGGACAGAGGATGACCTGTTGAAATTATAACACTATGAGTTATTCTGAAGGATAAGGAGCAAAGCCATCTTAAGGATCTAAAACTTTTATAAGCACTGATTATCCAGTGCCATGAGGTTAACAGTCAGCAGTCTTACATATTGATGTCAGTGTTAATGGTCTCCGATAGTCTTGTGATACACATAGTGAAATGAATAATGCACAATGGCATGCATTTTGTTTCTTTCAGAAACTGAAAAATCTAAGATTAAGCTACCATATCTAAAACTGGCCTCCAGTTTCATTAAAAAACTGCTACTACAAGAGCAAACCTGGTCAGAACTATGCTGTAAAGCAAACAGATGCACAGAATTGGTAATGGTTCTGGTTGTTACTTCTGTCTAAAACTATCTGGCGCCTGAACTGAGTTAAGTTGCAATAAAATAGCAGTACTTGTGTCCTTTGCTGTTGCAAGAGACACTATTTCTTCGTTATAGAAACAGCTGATTTGACCTAAACAGGTTTTACAGCATGTTACAAAGGACCTGTCTGCACATGCATGTTTTACCACAGTAGTTGTGCTGGCATAGTTGAAGCACCACAACATGCAGTGCAGATAATGGTGTAAAGCAGCTTCTGTTAGTTCAGATTATAGCTAGAATGGAAGCATTTGAAGGGGAGGGGGTGTTGTGTGTTAAGATAACGAGGGGCAAATAAAAAAACATAGATATCATCTCTTTAATTTACCAAGTTTTAATTACTATGTGCTCATGCACGTAACCTTCATAGTGGTGAATTGGGTAAAATACCAGCTCCAATAAACTGAGTAAAATCACAGGCAGAGGTGAGAGAGGTATTAAAGTACAGGGAGCAGATTATGATGGAGAAGTGAAGGCAGAGGAAAAGGTGGCTGTGAGAGAGCAGAGTCAGAGAAGGTTCTGAAGTAAACTTTCCCTCATGTTACCTGTGCCTGTCTAGCCTGCACAGCTGCTGAATTTCTGGGAAGATTTGCACAGATTACTGAATTGCACAGGTGTAAGTCATCCATTATTTTAATTGGCAAAGCAATAGACATTTGCAAATTATCTGGTACATTTGATATTCCCACAGCTGCATTATATTCTGGGACAATGCAGTACATTTTCAATAAAAGATAGAGAAGTTAAATCACTGCTTTGAATGCAAAATGGTAGAGAGAGATTTACAAGTGAAAAAGTGCAACCCAAAGATGCTGCAAAGGTTCCTTTTGGACTGTGCTCAGAAATTTGTGTTTTTCTGGAACTTTATGTTCCTTCCAACTCTTTAATGTGGCTGCCTGTTCTGATAGAGTTTGACCAAACACAGGCTTCAGTTTACCAGGACCCTGAACACTTACAATCTTTACTTCCCTTTGTAAGATGGGAAGTACATACATCTGCTTTTCTAAACACATCTCTTCTTTGAGGGGCATTATTCCACGTTGAACCCCAGCTTTTGTTGTCTCCCCTTTCAGCCTGACCCTTTCCATTAGCTCTGACCCTTACTACACCTTTAGCTAATGATGTGTTATTGGACGGTAAGAACTCTATAAAATGATGAAGTGTGTTGTGCTTTTACATATACACATATAGAGAAAAGAAACTTTTTTCTGAACAAATTTTTACAAAATTACCTGTGAGGTTTTTTGCAGCTCTGCATGTATGTGGTACTGACTGTTGACAGAGCCAATTTGCTGGCCTGGCTAAAACGGCAGTTTTGAACCAGTCTGGCAACTTCCATGTTCATAGCAAAAATTCAGTGAAGGAACAACAGAGATTGGCAAGTCAGGACTAACATGCATTGGCAGAACAGATTTGGGGCTCTTGATTATTATAAGCTGCAACTCCAGCTCACCTCCAAGAACACTACGAGATAACCCTCACTTCAGATAGGTATTATGCTAACTTGAGGATAAAGTTACTAACCATTTCATGAATACTGAATAGGCATTATTTTGTAAGTGAATGTACTTTCAATATCAAAGCACTAATGGTATAAAAGCTTTCAAAGTACATATTTAGATAAGGCTAAATAAACAAGGCATACTCAGAGTACATGTGCCAGCTTGATTGAATTATACTTTCCGTAGAGTAAGGCTTTGGTTTGAACCTTCAGGGTTACGAAAAAATATTACTTGAATATATATAGGATTTTTATATATTGACATTCATCATGAACTTTAATATTTTGTGTACAAGACTATTCAATGCTTGTACCAAGTAATTGCATAGAAATTGTGATACCATGACACACCCAAGACTTGCCGTCATGTTCCTGAACTGTGTGACTTAGCAGTAAATGTCTTTCTTGTAACATTCTTTTACAGTCACAGATGTCTTCTTTTTTTTTTTTTTTTTTTTTACTGTGAATAATTCTGCAGAAGCCACGCAGCTATTGTTATAATCAGGTTGTTTGAGATATTGGTGAGTTCTAAGCACTACTGATGGCTTTTAGGTTTTAAAAAGTAAAGCAGAGAGTATTGTACTGTGATGTTTACTGGTGTGCCTTTGATTTTCCACTGGCACTTCTCATTTGTGAATTCATAAAAATGAGTTATCCACCTTTCTTAGAAGTGACACTAACAGGTTTAGAAGCCTAATTGAGAACAGAATTGACATATTCAGCATTCATGCTGTTTTGGATGAACTCAGTCCCCAGTGTAAGCTTTCATAAGTTTATCAACCTCATTTAGCTGTTCTAGCTTAGACCAGCTGTGAATGAGGCCCTTAATATTTTAGCTGATGTCTGCAAAACTTACTGTTGTATAGCTGCTCCCAACAAAACTAAGTAAATATATTTTAGAATAACTGTAACACAGTAAATTCATTTTCCAAATTCTTAGCGTGGGAAAAGTTTCATCTCACTCGACCTGTTTCCAAGTCAGGTGTACACTTTAAGGCTTTATTTCTGGTTAACAGAGATAGATAGGCACCTCCAGACAACCGTTTATCTCCTCTGCAAACAGATATCCGAGGTATGTAAGATGGAAAAACCTCTGACAGTACTTGTTTCTCTCTTCTGTGCTGTTGAAGGAACCTAGAAAACTAATTTTTTAGGCATTAGTTTTCTTAGACTTGTATAGAACGTAGAATCTTTTTGAAAAGTTCAAAAATCAGTTGATGTTGGGCAAGATGAATCCCACCTCTGTTTGCTATCTGTTTTTAACTTTCTTGTTCCTAATGCTGAGTTCCCATCTGATTTCCCTGGCAAAAGTAATTGCTTTCAGCAAAATGGTTGCCAGTAAGACAAAATTCTGATATTAGTTGTGAGTACTTTGGGCCTGATTCTGCTTCCATGCATGGTGATATAAATTTGTGGTGACTGTTATCATTCACATTTGATGAGCTATATGGTAGCTAAGAACAGAATATGGCTTTTTCTGTACATTTTACATCAAGTCAGACTGAACTGTTATATGGCAGTAGTACTGCATTTCTCTGGCAGGTACAGTTGGTTTGAAAGCAGACCATAAATCTCTGACCTTTTGTAGCTAGAAAGACAATCTTCTGACTGTGATCCATTGCAGCACAGTCTACTTTGAATTTGCACATATAGGTTTAAGCAAACAGCCTTCCTTATCGCCTTGGGCCATTAAGTCTAAAGCCTAATAATAATATACATGTCAGTACAGCTAAATAGTTCAGCAAGATAATGCAGCAAGACATGTAAATAGTCTGACATTCTAGGTAGTGCAGAGTCCAGGCAGAAATGAAATATATTTTTGTTCCACCGATTCCCTATGTTTTACTGCTTTTAGTGCTGGACCCTATCAGCTTAAGGAGTATATGGTGGGCAAAATAGGTGCAATTTGGCGTTGAATGATTCCTCAGCAGGGTTCAGATATCTTGACAGTATTTACTTGTTGCAGAAGGTTTTTTTCTTTTTTTTTATCCAAGATGCCCATCATTGTCTGTTGAAAAGCAGGGCGTTGGCCTTAAATGCTGAGGTTTAGCTTTTCAAATGCAGCTGTTCTGTACCAAACCATTGACAGCAGAATTGCTTTGGAAAGCTTGGGCCCCTCCCTCTGAGATCACTGTATTATTCTTTCCATTGTCCTGCTTTCTTTTCAGAAAATATTTAGGGAGACAAGCTTTGCACATTGCTGGTTCAGAGGACTTTGAAGTCTCATTCAAGAAAAATAATGTATTTAAAAACATAAATATTTATTTACAGAGTAATTCAATTCATTACAGCATTGGTAGCCTTTAGTGATTGGCAGTCCTTAAAGGAATCTTCAGCGGGGGCGGGCTGAGACTGTAAATCAAGGAACAACTGACTTACTGAATTTAATACCTTAGTGATTAATAATAAATTTTAATTTGCAGGCACCCATGCCTGAAGGTCTCTAGGTGTTGTAACAGAGATTAAAAAAAAAAAAGAATGAAAGAAACAAAGAAACAGCAATAAAAGAAGGAATCTTGCACGTCTGAAGGAAAAGAAAAGAATATTTGGAACCTACATAAATGAATCTCTTCACCTAGCTGTAAAACAGACTACTAGAATGAAAAGGATCTTAGAAATGCTGTGAGATATTGCCATGCTTGTGCTTTATAGTATGTCTTTGCTTAGAAATTTCCATTGACCAGCTTTAAGTTCAGAAGGATCTGCCACCCACCTTCTTTACTCATTTCTGATAAAGTTTTCCTTAGACACAGTCATTAGCTTTCTGATTTTTGTTGGCAAGCTGATTTCTGGTTTTCATGATGGTTAGGGGCTCTAACATGACTTATCTTAGGTGAATGGAGCAAGCCTGCTTCTCTGGAATTTAAAGGACATGCATAATTTTCATAGCTCTGTTTCATATTCTCTGTTTTCAGGTGATGGAAAAATGAAAATTTGGATTGCATTTTGGGCATCTGAACTCAGTAATTACATTGATGCACTTATTTTCAAGTGCTAAAGAAATATTTCAGGAAAATGCAAATGTCAGGCTTAGTGTATGTCCCACATCTCAACTGTGATTAGAGTAGTGCTTCTGTAGAGTTACATGTAAACACCCACATAACTGTGGAAAACCCAAGTGTGAGTTATCCTAAAGGTTTATGTACTGCACTGGAGGTGAACCATAGCATTCATTAATCCTTTAATCTTTTTGATTATCTTCTGAAATGTTTGGGTATTTGAAAATGCAAGCAACACAGAAGTATTTTTTTGGGAACTAGACTAAAGTCCTCATCTGAAAGGTATTGGAGAAAAGCAAGGAATTGTTTTACCTACTTTATTGCAAAAGGTTAACGTAAAATCTCAGTATCTTCCCTTTAGGACAGAATGTTATTGTCATAGTCCCAGGAGCCAACCTACTTTTAAGTTGTGAAGACCTGAAGAGGGCTGCTGATGTCATCTGTAAAGCCAAAGTGGTTGTTTGCCAGCTAGAAATAGCCCCTGCTGTTTCTCTCGAAGCTCTGAAAATGGCACGTGCCAGTGGAGGTAATTTAACATAAGCCATTCTGTGTCTCTCATTTGCGTTGCATAAAAAATACTCTTCGTCATGCTTTCTATACAAAGATCCTGTGATCTGGTCTGATTGCTGTAATACTAGTTTTATTTGCAAATGAAACAATAGCAAACAAATTCATGCTCCATTACAAAAATTGAATTCAGTTTTAAAATTGTGCAGTGGTTACCCTGAATGAAATCAATCCACACCCTTATAATCTCCCCATATATGTCTGGTGCTGCTTTTGCTTCTACTGTCATGTTGTGACTAAATACAGTGTAATGGCTTTAGGTCAGGAACTGTGGACCTGACCTTTGTTTCATTCCAGTGCAGAACAAGTATAACAAATATAAATCAGTAAAGTTCCACACACAGTAAAGTGAATGAAATTACCTCAAAAACAGACTTTTTTCCCTTTTCTTCTAGTATAGCATTATATATGACTGTGGTTTTCTGTACAGAAGTTAACATCCTTAAAGTAAAAAAAAATGCTTTTTCTCTTTATCCAGAATTCTTACAGTGTGACTTGGCATGCTGCCATCGAATAGGAAAGTCATGGTCTGTGAAATTATTTGTAATTGTTACTGTGCTTTTAAATGTAAGCCACTGGTATTTCAGTGTAGCAGTCCATTGCCATACACCTGGATAAAAGCTGACATTTTGCTTGAGCAGGATGGGGTTTCACTACTGACATGATGCTTTGTTGTTTAAACGTCTGTAATGCTTTCAGTTACTCAAGCTCAACTACCGCAGAGTTTGAACAATACTAAGTAAATAGTTATGCAAGGGAGGCATCTGTATGAGATGAAAAATAGGTTGTTTGCATCTATCCAGGAGATAAGGCTGGAGGGGACAGCTCATAGTACGGTCGGTTAGGGATGGAACCAGGATCCGAAACTAACTGGTTCTTCACAGCTGGACCCAGGCTCGCCCCAATAGATGGTGGCGTCTGGGCATTGTTGGCTCTTGGTCCTCCTTCTGCACTGAGGACTGTTGTGCATCTATTGTGATTACTAGGGTTGAGTGAACTAAATCAGGTGTAGCAGAACTTTATGCATCTTTTTCATGTATTTTATGCTAATTTAAGCAGCTATGTTAGCTTAGATAACATAAGCCTGGGAGAGAGTGGCTCTGAGACTGTGATGGTAATAGTCATACACAACAGTCATAAACAGAACTGTGTGCATGGGGAAAATTATTTTGACCTCTGTTTGAAATGTCAAAACTGGGTGCATGCAAATACAAATAAAAATTAAAAACTTCAGTTTACGAGGAAGTGCCTGGATGCTTAAAATGGGGAGGGGAGGAGGAGAAGGAAACTTAAAATATTTTTTCATTATAATATGTGAAAAAGGATGAAAGTGTTCTTAATCTAAAAAGATCTATAAAAATCTATAATAGAGTCATGAGTCAAAATTCATGAGTTATGTTGTCTGCTTCTAACTCAGTGTATGATTTTGGTAAAGTTGCTACTTTTTTGTAGCCCCCTTATGCTGGCAAGATGCCAGCCAGTGACAGACGAAAAAGTATGGTTGTTTTTTTTAAAGTGCAAATTTAAAAAGTCCAAACCTGATACACTGAATAGACATGCAAGCATTGAGGAAATGTAGACAGCATGAGATATTGACAAGACAGTGCAGTAACTGTGGGCCAGTTATAGTTCTGCTATCATTGCGCAGCTCTCCTATCAGGAAAGGTTTGATTGTTTCTACTTTAAAACAATAGGCCACACATGTTCAAATGCCATATGCAGTCAAATCTAAGTAAACGGTTCAGTTTGTAGTGCTGTAAAATTTATCCTTAGCCAACTGTAAATTGTTAATGCAGTCTCTCTCCATTTAGCCTGCAGTACCCTCATGTATAATGCAGTACTGTATGTTGGGAAGTGCACTAGACTATTTTTGTTTAACAGATGCACAGCCAGATGCCTCAGACCTCTGTTTCAAGTTTTGCTGCTTGTTCTTCTCCATTCTTATTACAAGAAATAAAAAATAAGATGGAGAAAGAATGTGGATAGACAGGCAAGAGCCCTTTTCTCTTCAGTGAACATCACTTGGATCTGTAAGCTGGAGAGGGACAGCTCATGTTTTGACATCCTTTCATTATGGCACTGATTATTAGAGATCTTGTGACAGTCATGGGGAGAAGAAAGGGTTGTGAATAATTAAATTAAGTGGGTATAAATTGCAGTGGAAATCTGACTGGAAAATTCTAGGTTTTTCTTACTGGCCACGTACTGTGAAACTGCTGCTGCTTCCAAGAGGGGGACCACTTCATTGATGGGCAAAGTGTTATTACGTACTGAAGTCTGTAAAGCAGCTTTTTGGGCTTCTGTAATGACACTCTATAAAAGACAGGCTAATAATGTCCAGCCTATTAATACTGTAGTGAAGAATGAAAGCGTGTCATAACAGGGATGGAAGAAGCCTCAGTTATTAACCTTGCATGTCACTGCCCCATGGAAGATCTATTTTTCAGACGCTTTAACTTTTTAATCTTAGGCTGCAATTTTCCATACCAGCTGTTTGTCTGTGGTTAAATTATTTGTAAAATTTCGGCCAAAACTGCTCAAGTATTGTGGCTACAGAAACAAGGCTATGGAAAAATACTCCCCCATTTAAAGGATGTGTACTGGCAACATTAAACTTACTTAAAACTTGATAGCAAGGGAGATTTCTTTTAAAAACATGCCTTTACAATGGTGTGGAAAACTGCCTAATTTTAGCGGTATTATATGCCTTGGAAAAAATACCACCTTTCAAACAGGCCTACGAATTTTTAGAGCTTCGAAGCGAACTTTCCCTGAGAGTCTGTCTACTTAGGGGAGTGTTCCAGTTGGACAGCATGTCTTTCGATGTAGTTCCTAAATCTGGATTTAAGCAGCTTATTTTTTTTTATGCTGTTAAAGATCTTGTGTAGGCCCAGGAAGTAGAGAGGAGAAGCTTGCTTGCTTTGAATACAAAAGAGACAAAGCTGGACTAGAACGGTGGGGAGGGAGGGGAGATTTCAGACGAGGGAATTGTAAGAGGAATTTGCTTGATTTTGGGGATAGCAGAGAAAGAAGAAAGAAACTGCAAGGGGAACTAATGTGGAACAGAATATAGGGTGTGTTGAATAGAGAGTGGAGGTGGGGTCTGGGAGAAGACTGGCACTGTGGCGTTCTGGATAGGGGAAGAAGGAAGCATGGGTGGGGGGCAAGAGATACAATGGGATGAAGGTTGAGTGAAAAAGCTTACTGTTATGTAGTGCCTATGCAAGGATGCATAAAGAACAGAAAGTGAGTTAGGAGACTAGATCTTGGCAGATGAAGAGAAAGAATTTGGGCAGAACCGATTTTGTCATTCTTAAGGAGAGTGAGCCGATTAACTGGTTCACAAGCCCTGCTCTTCTTCACAGCCTGAACAGGAATTTTAATATTCCCTAGTCTCCCCAGTGCTCAGCTGACATTAAATATGGGGGCAAACTAATAGGAATGTCTTCCGCCCCTGTTAGCAGTGAGTCTGTATGACTAAAAACCCAGTTTGGAACACTTCCAGCGCTGTTACTGACTCATGTATATGGCAATATGATACTACATGAAAGAGTGTGTTTTTAAATATTTGCTGTTTGTTTTACCTAGAAAAGTAAGTATACCTAAAAGATTTGCGCTGAAAAATTTTTGTTAGGGTTGCAACTCAGAGAATTGGAAATGCAAGAGTTAAGCTTGCCTGTGAAACTTTAATTTGTCTCCTTTCTGCATGTGAATTATGTTGCAGTCTTTAATTATAAGATCACATGCTGTTTTTCAGTGGTATGTGATCATGTAATTAAAGAGTGTATTATAATACATACTGTATTGTAGGAATATAAGGGAGCCAAATTAAGATTTCACTGGAAATCCTAATTCTGGCATTTTTTGACTTTTGAGTGAGTGTTTTTATGGCTTTAATAATACTGCTTTTATTGAAACAGGTAGAGAGTCATGATAAAGTTGTACATTTTTAGGCTAAAATTTTCAAAGAGGGTTAATCATAAAAGTCATCAACTAAACTTCTCTGTACTCAGAATTCACAAGTCTCTCAGCATCTTTCTCTTTAGAGGATTAAGTGGGATGCAGAAGTGTTTAGGGTGTGTGAATAATACCTGCTATAGCTTAGGAGTCTAACTGTATCTTTAGGACTGAAATTTAGGCACCCAAATTGGAAGATTTGGCCACTTATTATAAGGAATACTTCTAATGCAAGAAAGTGTGCTTTATATAAAAAAGATGATCTTGTGGTTAAGACACAAGTATTAATCATAAAATTGGCAAAGTGAGAAACCAAATCTGCAGACTTCCTGCGTTAACAGTGAGTAAGTCGCTTATATTGTCCTCAAGACAAACCTTTTCTGCTATTATACTGGGCCTTAGGCTAGGATTTCAAGTTAGGTTAACTAACATACTCTATCGCATGTTAAGTTAAGGTTTAGCTTTGCCAGATAACATATTAAAAATGTACAGTGCCTTGTCTACACTATAGTTTTACGATGTGGCAGTTTGAACGTTAGATAACACATTCAAAAGCACCTTTAAATCCTTGTCTAGACATGTCCTTCATTACTCTATGCCTCTGTTTCTTTATGTATACAATGCATGTAATGATACACATTCTACTCAGAAAAAATTCTAAAACTAAATCAGTTCTTGTGAAATTTATTAAAATCCTGGAAGAAACATCAAAAATTAATTGTTATCTAAATTGCATTAATGTTTAAATCTTTTCTTTGGATTTTGTAATTAATAATTTCTTGATTATTTTCTTTTCTATTACTCTTCTGTCGTATTCCCATCATGACAGGTGACTGCACATAAATTTGAAGGGAACTTTAATATAATAAAACTTTTTATCAGCTCTATAAATTGCGGACACAGAAAATGAGAGACTTCTGCATGTTAGTAAGAAACATGGGGAGATGCGAATGCAATCAGGACTTGGAAGATATTAACCATAACAACAGAAAGTTTGATGTTCCAGGTTATAGTTTATGAATCTGAAATACTGGAGATTTAGACTTTTTCCATTTTTTTTCAGTAAAGACTCTATTTAATCCAGCTCCAGCCCTTGCTGACCTCGATCCACAATTTTACACCCATTCTGACATCTTCTGCTGCAATGAAACTGAGGTAAT